GAAGCTGTGCAGTGGAGCCCATTGTGCAGAGGAGACTCAGGTATCCGTCGTACAAGAGCGCACGTGTCAAATGGCTCCCAGTGCAGGTTCTTTACAGTTGGTTTGAAGCTCCTTGAAAAATTTCGCTGTTCTCCATGAACAACTCGCTCCCGACTGCCTTTTGTAAGTGATTTACTTGAAGCTCGGGGACGAGGGGATAGATATCAGACGCGATATGACATATACCGGTTGAAATGTTTTGATACGTCTGCCGCCGGTCAAGATTGGTATTGCATCCTTCGTCTGGTAAACCCTAAAGAACAGGTGCGAGTAATTTAAAAATCCATAGTTTTGTGGGTTGATGGTAACAAACGACTTCCTGTGATGATCAATTCGGTTCCCGAAACCATGGCTAATTCAAAGAAAGAGAGCACGATTTGATCGCCAAATGACGTGTGCTATCAGACGGACCTTGGGCCCGCGGGACCATTCTGCATTCAATCCGTGCGCCAATCGTAGCAAAGACAACATACTACATCCACTAATCTTTCAAAGCTTCCACAGTTGAGGAGAAAAGGGACTTCAGATATTCGAACTCATTAATATTGAGCCTAACTAAAACGGTTGAAATCCCCCTCCTGCCGTACGGGCGACATACATGGAAGGCACTGAATAATATTCAAAAATATTTTCTCAGTAGCCAGTGAAACTACCGCAAGTAGGTTTTATACACAGCTCTACAAGGCTAGAAGGCCGTACAACTTTGTTGGTAACTTTGTCCACGTAAGTGGCCAGCGCGTAAACATGCCGAGCGCGGTCTTCATGGGGTAGGTTTTATACCATGAACTGACGATTTTATAGGATAAAATACCAACGGTAGCTGTCCCATTTGTGAATTGGCGGCATCCTCGCAAAACCCCACTATGGTGCGTAAAGCAGCCTTGAGCAATTTACTTTTGAATTCATGAGTTACTCTGCTTTTTGCTCCTGACCAGTAAAATCTCTATAGTAATGCCATTAAACCCTGGATTGCACTCCGACGGAATCTACGGGCCAGTGACCATGGCCGAACACAAATGAATTTCACGGAAAGGAAGGTCATGTGTCTCAGTTCTCCATTCACAATACGCTATTCTGTTCCATTTAACGTTCCTTATTAAAATGTAATATACGTAGACAAAGCATTACCCTGCCGTCTCGGAAATTTGATGCAAAATACATATCTAAAGCAACCACGCATGAGAGTGGGGATTGTCCCACCAAGAGGTGCTGAATCTGACAGGACATTGTCTCTTCATCATTGAAGGGTTTTTTAATGGGCAGGTGGCTGAAATGCAATGAGAGAACCATGGCAAAGATCAAAAGAGGTTTTCCGTTTACCCATCCGTAGCTGACGCGGTTCATTATATACTACCTCAAAAATTTCGCACCCTTTCAATTGCATAACCTGCGTGTTTTACATCTCAAGGGAACGAAGCCTCAACCAGACTAAATTTACTGAGCACAAACGCGATGAGCAGGAGAAGCGAGTAATCAGGTCCTCTGGGTGTATTGAACCCATTTTTCCAGGTCGCAGACGGGTGTATCCAGAAAAACACCACAAAATTAATCACTGAATATTGGTACCACAGAGTGGGTGTGTGACAAGCATGATGCACTCTTGACTCCAGAGCTCACCAACCATTAGTGAGGCACCTGGCACCATCTGCAGATTTGCCTATTTTCTCGGTAACACTGACCATTTAGTGCCCTCGCAGACCAGGAAGCACTGCAATGGACTGCAATCTGCTACAACAGCAATCTCTAAAACCTCGGGATTCCTGTTTCAATCTCTAGTAACCGAAATCTATACAAACCCTCTTAATATTACTACTCAAGGAACAACCATCTGGCATTAGTTCGTCTAACTTCGGTTAATCCCCAGAGGGGGCCTATCTTTTTGAACGGCTTGCCCAATTCTCAGACTCCGTGTTTGTGCATGATCCAGAAGCTGCGAATCTCCCCTCATCAACGCTGATCAAACATCACTTTATTCTGGTGTGGGGCCTAGCGAGCTCCTTAGAAAACGAAGTTACCGAAAATTCGAACTATGCCTTCTAATCTTACTTCGTTATTTAGTTACCATGCAGATGTTACTGAATTCCGGGTGGACTCTTAGGTCTGGGTATCCTATTTCCCTAAGCCTGAAATGCATCAGCACAAAAGTTGCCTCTGAACTCATCATCATTGCTGACAACAACGTATGCCGTCGCTCCACTGTGATGCAGGCAGGAAGAAGTTTGAGACCATTACCGATATTCCTTTCAAAGTATTTTGTGCAAGCAATCAATCATTAAACAAAATGGTCTCCGCGTAGTGGAAGTTCATTATTTTTTTCCGGATAAGTATTTGATACTTAGCTTTGGGGTTTCTTGGAATGGGCACCCCATGACATCGCTGTTGGCATCATAGAGCAAGCATAAATTGGGAGAGAAGTATCGTGATACCGGGCCCGGCCGAAGTTTTGCGAATCAAGAGCATCACTAATGGCTAGAAGTTCCGACGGCTTTCAATTTTCGCCAAGAATAACTAGAACTGTTGATCTATCACCAGAGCCAAAGGAATCCATGAAATCAGGGTAGACAACAACTTGATTGTTGATGTGCTCGATGATATCCAAGCACCCACTACGACGGGGTTGAAATCTTATTCGGTCTCCACATCTCATGTATGACTGCGCATTTCAACAAAAAGGAAGGCATTAGCCACGGCACAATAGTCGTGGGAATTATAGCTTTGTGATTGGAATAATCGGGCAGACACCTTTTAAAAGAAATGGTTTTACTAACAAATGGTCCCAATTATACGGAATATGTCCATTTTCCGTAATAATTGGGAATGACGTAGCCAGGGCAGATCATAAAGTTCTGCTCCAGTTTCGACGACGCCGAGGAAGTTTGTATGCCCAGACATCTCTCCAAGGTAGCAGGGGGCGTCAGATATTGCACTTGCTGCAGAACAGACAACAAGTGGTACCTTTCCAGGTCCATTTACAAGGAACAAAACTCCGGTTCCTGAGATAAAATTACCACGCACGATAATCCACATGGTCCGGAGACTGCGGTCTTAGGTCTTTGGACTCAATTTTAGGCTAATAGTAGATCAGCGATGCAAAATTAAACATGGAAATGAGGTTGAAAACAGGCAGGTAGAATGATGTGGGGTTCAATTATGGGCCTCGCACTTTCATGTGGTCTACTTGCAGGAAAGTGATAATCTTCCCGATAGCACGCGAAATCTGTTCTTCCGTTAGAAAAGCCCTTGCGAGTTTCAAAAATTAAAGGGCCTTTCTAGCCTCTTCAGTCTCGCACTTTTCTGCGATGTTCTGTCCACCTTTGAACTGCTGTTTTTGGCGGGTTGAAGCCTTTTTTGTTCAAGGCACGTCAATATGATAAAAACTACTCGGCTCTTCAAACAATCCAGCTCATTTTAAGGAACCCTTTTTCGTCACCCAGCCGAATCATTTGCTCGCTTAAACTTATTGACAGGTATTTGCGCCTCCAGCTTGCTTTCACACGCTTTCCAAAACGACCGTCCACTGTTTCGTTAAACCTTTTACCAAACAATGCACCGTTACGTATCCGTTCGGACAACCATCCTTCGTTTTTGCCCTAAAGACAGCGGATTAAAAGTACCCATTGGGCGGATATTTACAAGCAAATATCTTCGTGATATGCCGGCCGAAAACGGACAGGTGGCTCTGTAAAATATTCAGCGCTCAACCCGGCCAATATGTGTCCATCAATATACAACAATACATGAAAACCTAAAAAACCCTGGCGTCTACCTCTATGATTGCAATATAGGCCAATATGTGTCCATCAATATACAACAATACATGAAAACCTAAAAAACCCTGGCGTCTACCTCTATGATTGATCTCAATATAGGCCTGACGAAACGCCAAATCCGAGCATCTGTGCAAGAACCGGTCGTCGACGAAATAGTACTTTTACAATGCAGCACACAGAATGTTGACGTTCGAATTCCAAATGGTTGCTGAGACACCATGTTGCTGTACCAGTGGACCAGAAGGCCGTGTTCAGATGATACTCCTCATACAAGATGTCCCGGTCACCCGCACAATAACAGGCGGAAGGCGAATTCTTGTCGAGCTTGTTAACAGACCCATTATGGCCTATACTACACAGCGATAACATACCTTCCTTGTAGAAGCTACTCATTTTTTGCGAACATGGAGGAACTGTCTAAAAAGAATAAAGCACTTCTGCGAAAGTGTCGGACGCCATCCTGAACCAAAGCCGCCTTGCAATAACTTCTACGCCAGCAAACCCAACCCGCCTGTGATTGGTCAGAAGAACGGGACGCTTGCAAGTTCAGCATCAATCTGAGCTCTGTTAGACCCAAATTCACGCCCCACAACCAATCACATTCCAGTACCATTGACTCCCAATTCGAGAACTCCCGATCAGACGGCGTGGAGCCTTATTTAACACTTTATCAACGAGGTGTCTTTCTTTGGTGATAGCCAAATCCAACAGGAATGGCAGTTGGGTTGCGCGGTATCTGGCGGGTGCGGCGGCGTGCTGAGCCCAAGCGTTTTTTGAGCGACTTCGATCAAGGCTTATGCGAAGTGTCTACTAGACCTGATGCGCTGGAGTCCCATCCAGGAGGCCTTTGGATAGTTAAACTTGCCTACCGGCAAGATATTTGTGAAGCGGTAGCTGGAGGAGAGCTGCCCAAGGAGCTCGTTTTCCTCCGGTAGAAGTCTACCTCGAGCTCGAGGTGCAACGGTAGACCACGTCGAGAAGAGTATCGGTCTCACACGTAGCGGGATTTGAATCCACAGTTCATTACAAAAAGGTACAGGTGTCGGACAGGGCAATCGGGATGGGCAGGGCGGCTTGTAAGTATAAAGCAACCCCACTTGCTCTCCCGCGTTTCGAGTCAGCTCGGATAACGAAGTAGCTTTCTGTCGAGATATCCGCGTCAGAAACATCTTATGTAAGCCAGGGATCGAGATGCTCCCGGGACGTCCGGCCACAGACATCAGGTGCGTTTACGACATAGCTCCTTTTGGGTCAGACCCCTTAAACATTCATTCCATTCTACCGTACGGTTCAATATGCCCTTCGCAAGTGTCAAGTGATGGTGCTAGATTCGGTCGTGTCAAACCTAGGCCTCATGCTTACTGGTTGAACGATCGTTGTGGCAGATAGCTTTTTCTGCCTGGGTAACCGCAGAAGTCTTAGTGAACTAGCGAAAGACCGAATCACTTCCCGAATCGGGAAGGCCAGGAGGGTGTTTGCCAACCTTCGACTGGTCATAATGTGACAGCTTTACTTTCACTGATTCAGCGTGCAATGTCGCGATCCGATCGGTCCTACTTTATGAACCAAAGACATGGATGCTGCGTTTTGAGGACCTCCGAAGAACACCTGTGTTTGAACATTGGTACCTTCGAAGTGTTGCACTGGTTTGGTGGGAACATCGGATCAGTAATGTCGATGTACAGCAGATGATTTTCGGGAAAGTCCACTCTCCGATAGATCGGCTGGTCCCACTCCACAGGTTGCTCTGTTTAGGCCATGTTCTCAGCATGCCAGAGTACCACCCGCCGCGCAGAACCCTTTCGCCTAGCCTTGTGTCGGATGGAGAGGGTGGTTAGTCCATTATCTGGCAACGAAACATGGTACTGTTATCAGTAAACTCAGTCGCGTCTCTCCCGATTGGGTCTGCGGGGCTTGACAGGCGAATGTTTAGTGACCCTGACAGATATGACAGTCAGTGGTGGCTCCACTGCGTTGCTGTCACTCTCTTCCAGTCATTCGGTTTCTTTCAACTGATCGGGCAATCGCTTTGGTGGACTAGCTCGTAACACTGCACTTCGGCACACGGTTGTTTTTTGCTGAAAAGCGAACTGAACTGAGCCTCCTTTTGTATTATATCACTCTTTCAATCGTGACACTCGCCGTTGTCTTTCAAGCCATGCGTACCAAATCACGCTACCTCATTGTTACTCATGTTTTCACCTGCCTCCCTTGAGCTGTCTAACGTTGGAGTTTTCTACCACCCTCGGTATCCCCGTTTCCCTATTGTCCAACGTTTCAAGACCCGTGTTAACAAGAATCTGAACAAACTTCCTCAGATGAATCGCGTTTTCTGCAGTTTTACTTTAGTTGGCAATTTGTGCAGGGAGTCTTCGATAGTGTTTTTCCCTCCATATGTGTAAAAAGCTGATGTTGGCGAAGTGGTTGGGTAGTTTCACGATTGTCTTGCTTCAGAAGCCACTTGAACTCGCGTGTTGTCACCATCCTCTGCAGTTAAATTACTCAAGTAGAAATATGTCCGTTTCGGGACATTCTAATTACCTGTGGCCTAGTTGTCTGTGAGTTTTGCTTTATTGGAAGGATGTATATGGAAAGCGCCAGTGCTATATGTGCACGAGACGTTTTTGAACGGGTTCAACCGCCGAGAAAGCATATACCTGATGCGAGAGAACCAATGTCAGTTGATTTGCCCTGCATACGTCACACCTTGTCTGGAACCGCGAGCTTGACCTATTGAAAAACATCGATCAGAACTCTGATGACCATCATTCAGAAGGGGGATACTCGGAAGTATTCATGTCCCAAAATGCTTAGCCTAGCTTTTGCGATTACAAACCAATGAAGACAGCAAGCAAAAACAAAAAAAATGTGCATCAGGGAACTACGCTGGTGAATTAGTGCTTTCTGGCAGCGTAAGGGAGACCTTTGTCGTTGGTTGATAGATCAGCGACCGGTTCAATCGAGTTAATGGATTAGTCGGGTCTGCACACACATAGTTGGATCCATTCATTTTCTGGGGTTTAAGTTGAACGTCCTCAACTTCAGCTCCCGTCGATTACTTGGAACCCGTCAAATGGCTCAGGACCTTAATGTTTCCTGTATTCCTAATGCCATCCCGAGGAATTTCATGTAGCACTTTGACTGTAAATACCCGACTGCTGTAGCTTGTGGAGCTCTATTAAGCATGTAAGTGATTCGACGGCGGCCTATAGAGAACGGGCGACTTATCTCTGACGTTCCCACTGAGCACTGGTGATCTGTAGAGGTCTCATTCGGCAACATTAAGCGTTCTCGTGAGTGGCTCTTCCAGTTTGTACTGTACCTCAATACATCGTTTCCGCGATATTTGTGGTTTCCTCCTAAAGCTTCAGGCCATATTCACTTAGATTCTGTTTTATGAATTGCCGACGAAAATGTTAAATTTCCTGCATTGGACAGCATTTGTCTATTTTATACAGACTTCTCATTCCAGTTGTCATCGACCCTTCTTCTGACACCTACGTATGGAAATTGAAAGTAGTTTTTAGACGCCTGTTCTGCAACAAGTTATACGGGTAGCTTTGAGTTCTTTGACGTGTCAATAGTTGATTGAAAAATAATAACTACAAATGTGAAATCAACACTGTCGCTAAAATTGTATGTCTAGAGGATTCTTGAATTGGCATACGTAGCCTTGTAACCATTTTTATTTATCTTTCCTGATCTGTAAATCTCTATACTACCGTTCCAGGCGATCCGTATTCCCTTCAAACCAAAGTGATGGGATCTTGTGATAATGGCAGATATGTCTAACACCATAACAGCATTCTTGTCCTTGAAGTCTGCGATATCCAGCTCCAGCTCTTCACTGAGCCCTTCATGCTTCGAGGATGCTGTGGGTTAGTGAACACCTGCTATCTCTATTACACTTGAAGCCATTTTGAGAACGGATTTACGCGGCATATCTCTCAGCGTGCTTGAGGATAAGGTTATTGACCCAATACGACTTGCAGTCGAGTCCTCTGATGAACAAATTGGGTGTCAGGCGCTTAAATGTCTTCAGGTGAGCCACTATCTGCCGCTGAATCAACCAAATTTCCAATAGTGTCTTCTCCATGATTCCTCCTTCCTTTCATCGAATGCGGACAAAAAGTGGCTTATTTCACAGTTTTTGTGTGCTATTAGCTCATGTGCTACCTTACCAGAGCAAAGTCAGTTTTCTATCCTGAAGGTATTTGATTTTCTGTTTGATACATTATCCCCCGAAGTTAATTTTAGATATGTGCCTCACTTGCGAATCGGCTTTGTCAGCCAATGTGATTATCCGTGTGATTGAGGTAGGTTAGTGGGATGCTCAGGTATGTTAATTTGACTGGTTTTGGGAGGCATAGTCTCACTGCCTCTTTCTCCAGAGGCGCAAGGCCTTTTGTAATCAGTCCTCACTCCACCCGCATTTGTTTTTATTTCTTACTAGGACCTTCTTACTCCTGGTTGTATGACAGTGACGCATTTGTTTGATTGGATTTTGAATCGGATAGTGGTGGTGGTGTTATATGCACCGTCTACGGAGTGTGAGCATTGGACTGAAGCTGAGGGGACGAGATGGCTCGAGTGGTTAGAGCGCGAATTTACTGACAGGAAGGTCCGTGGTTCGAACCGACCCCTGCCTCTCGACTTTTCCTGTCTAGGCTTGGGCAACCTGGCAGCATCCAAGCCCTCCTGCTTCCTTCGGGTGGCACGGCAGTTAGGCACCGGAAGCGTGTTACAGCTGAACTATTAAAATGGATCGAACGAACACTAGATCTCTGTTGCGAACCTGTTCAATGCCAGACCTTTTGGTGCCGGACGTCGGCTCATTCTAGCTGACTAGGTATAGCGAACTGTTAACTAATTCAGACAACCACGTGACTACGGACTATTTTGTAACTAGTTGTCTATACTCAGGGAGGAATTGATTGCTATCAAACCTGAGGGCTTGAAATCCTACCGAATATTTAGTGTAAAGAAATGGTCGGATCCGGCCGCAAGTTTTTGTGAAGAGAGTCAAATATATTAATTTACTTGTGCTCGTACTTCACAGGTATGCATTGAGGTTTGCAGCAGTCCCACGACCTCACCCGACTCCATGGTGATACGTGTTTCACAGTGCACCGTTAAGCAGATTCTGGAAACGGCTACACTTCTATTCTCTCGGTCAGAACCTGAACAGGTTGGTCTATTTTCATTGCACTATACATGCTCTTTCTCAGATCCCTAGGAGTATCTACGATCGAGAACAGTTTATGTGCCAGTTTTTTGTTTGAAACGGAATTGGTCTCACCATTTCTTTGCTTGGGATCGGTGTTTTGTGGCAAAAATGTAACCACCCTTTGGTTATCTTCGATCTCAGATCGCCCCGCTGTGTAAGTCTAACATTGCATGCTAAGTCACAGCGTTACTGTGTAATTGCTGATAGAAGCGTACGACGGTGTGCAAAACCGTCAATGAACTACAGGTAATCAAAGCCGGCGCATGACTATTTCGAGGTGGTATGCGTGACAGTCAGCGCATCTGTAATCGAATAGACGTGTATTGAATACAGATTTTCAAGGAATAAGACTGCTGAAGTTGTGCGTCTGCTGTATCTTTCAGTTTGACTCGCCTGCACACATGCTATTTTTGTCAAATTGTTTTTCGCTCCCTTGTCCACATTTACTTGGTATCGCTTTTTTGACAGCTTCAGTCACTTGCTTCGACCGGTCCTGCATTGAATCATCCAGCGTGCCTGCCTGATTTACTGTTGTCACCAACCATCGAGCCAGGGTCTTCTGCTGTTCTACGTGACGAAATTCCGAAGGATAGTGATGCCAGTCACTTAACAGCATTGTCAAGACGACGCAGTTTGTTTCTGGTCGTCGGTTACCTCATTGACAGGTTGCGACTGGAGGTTGCGAAGGATAAATCGTCAAGCACTACACTTATTTTATTACTTGACTCACTGTTGGCCGTCCTAAAAGTCTTGCCTTCGGGAACCGTGAGGTATCAGCACTTCACCGATCTAATATGGTAAGGTTCTTTGTGGCTGAATTATGTTTGTAATTGGTTCCTCCAAAATTCTGAACGGCTTTCGAGTCTCTCCACGTGTGTGAATAAAATCTGTCACCTCTGATGTGTAGCACCACAAACGCCATAACTTGCCTTACTAGTGACAGGCGCAGGTTTGGGCGCAGATTCGTGACTGGGCTGAGTAATTTGGTAGAAAACGTTTCATCGTCAGTGGAACTGATGCTTGTTCTTTATAGGTAGAAATGCGTGGTTGTTTCGCTTGTACATGTTTGTACGTAGTAAACAACGCGCATGAACATTTCCGTGTGATACTTGAGGAAGGATATTCAAAAGCATGGAATTCAAAAGAATGGATATTCAAAGATGGAACTCTCCAGACTAAGCTACATCTGTAACCACCCACGTTTGATTTCTGTTCAGGGGGCGGTGGCGCACTGCGCGCGGCGATAGTCAGATAAGAGGAAAACACCTTTACCTTGTATTTTTGGGCAACGGATACTCACGAGATTTTCTACCGGAATAAATTTAAGTAAAATGCAACCTGACAGCAGCAACACCAAACAACTGAACGGACGAGTTCTGTCAGTAGCCTATCGGAATGCATACAATTACAGCTACAGCCGAAAGGAATTAAAGTAGTCCACAAACCAGCTACTACATTAAGAGCATCGGTCTCAGCGCCGAACGATAACGCCTACGAAGGTGGAGAAAATATAATCGTGTACAGACTCACACCAGACGATCTACAAGGTAACTTTACTCGGATGGAATAACATTGGGTACCTATTAAAAGAGTTTCCACTGTTCCAAATTTTCATACTTGAAGATGAAGAATACACAACTATGAGCGTATGACTGAGTCAAAGTGATGGAGTCACAACTGGCCATGCGGCCAATCGACTCGCTGTGCAGATGAGCGAAAAACAATTGACGGAAGAACCGCTGTCAAGTCTCAAGACCTATCGGGAGACAGGTCACTCGACAAATCGATAGAGATGCTCGTCTCAGTCTCCATAGATAACCTGAGGTCCAGCTAGGCCAGTGTTGCATACACACCAAGCACACGCTTCTCCGTTCAAAATGAGGCCATATTAACTGCAAAATGTTTACAACCTAATCTTCTACTTCAATGATCGAATCAACTATCAGATGCCAGTGCTCTCAATTGACAGCTAAGGCATACTAGACGAAACGGTGCTAGTTACGGTCATCAGTTCCCAGGTAATACTCCTAAGCCGGATTGAATTGGTGATAACTACATTATGTGTGTGGTTCACCACTCCAATTTTCCGATTCGCGTTGCCAGTCATCAAACAGTCGTGACAATTCGACATAGTGTGGCCACTCGCCCCCTCTCGTTGTCAATGCTCGGTTGTGTTGTGTTGGTTGTGTGGCTTTCGGTCCTGTTTCTAGTCGAGGCGCGAATCTCCTGAACGGGCTACATAACTCATTTTCGCTTTATAACTTCTCCATTTGACCATTGTTGTGCTAATAGAGGTTTGCTTTCACACTCACTTTGTCTGTTGTCCACGTATTCTCGCTGGGTCCATCTATATCCATTTTTCAGTTTTTTCACTAATTTCATCCTTTTCATGAAGTAATACTTTCATCGCCTTGACGGCTTTTTCAGCTGTAATGTTCCCTCTTGAATGTCGCCTGTGAACGCACTTTCCACTCCGCCTGCACTGCCGAACTTTGCACTTTTGACGATTTAAGCGTTTATAACTTCTAATGGTCTGTTTTCTCAGGTAGCACCTATCAGGTCGACCACGAGGCAGCGTTTTTTTTCATTGTTAATTGTTTTCCCAGCTTGCGGCTTTTCGTACTTGTATCTCACACCGTCTTGGCAACGTCCCTAAACTCTGGACCTCAATATTACTTCCGCTCCCTGTACTGTCTTCGCCTTAAAGTTCTCCACGTACAGCCTGCTTCCATTTTTCACCTCACTATGCCTACAAGATCGTCTTTACCCTCTGTGCTTCCTGGCGATGTTCTCCCATCAACGGGGGAATCTTCCCTTCCCTTTCCAAAGGGTTCATGGAAATCCTCTAAACCCGTTAGACGTTTCCTTTCGAAATGGTTTAACCATGCTTCTCCGTAATTGTCCGCCGACTCTGATGAATCGTCTTCCCGAAACCTCTACATAGATGCTATTACTTGAATCCAATAAAAGGCACTCCTTTGTCTCTTTTCGTTTCCATTAAACAAGCAAAAGCTGATATCTTCGTGGATCGTTTTGTTCATTATTCCGACTTTCACTTTACTTCCACGGTGAACCCGTTTGAGTGTCACACATCTTAGATCTTCCGAGTTGAATAAGTTTTCCGAAACAGACACAATATCGCCCGGTTTCTCTGAGACTTTTGTTCCGGTGCGGTACACTTCCCTTTTCTGTAGCCTACCGATGTGTCGGGTTTTTCAGCAACCGACCAATGTTAGTACACCATTGAAGGTTTGTTCCCATAGCTTGGAGCATCAAAACGAGATCCTTGAGGTCGTGTTCGTTTTTCACCCAATTTCTATTGTAAATCTACGGCATCAGTGTTGAACACTGATATTGTGCCGTCGATGGTATTATTATTATTATTATTATTATTATTATTATTAATCAACAATCTCTTCTGTGATTTGATCCAGCATTAGCTAAAGATGCTACTGTTCACCAATCCTACCTCCCTTATTTTAAGTGAAGATGTACGCACAATCAGTACCACGAACTATGGTCTCGCCAAAATTTGCACTCGGGTTTCTCGATTGCTGTGACATCCGGCTCCTTTAGATATTTATGTCCCTCGTAGTCCATTTGTCATCCTTAGACCTCCCAATTTCTACAGACGCCAACCGTGTTCCCCGTTCTTCCTCTTTCACGGTTCTATGTTCGGCCTTTTTTCAGCTGCTGTTTGTCCGCTGACGTCAAACTGATTTTTACAGGTGCATCCATCCGCGCCAGCAGCTAGTCCATAGCCACCAACTTATATTGTATACAAATCGTTCGTCTCAACCTAGAATACTGCTTTCAAATGTTAGGTGGCTCCCTATCCAATGAGATATCATTCACCTTTTTTCCTCGTCTACCGTACCGATGGTCTCCAACCTCCTTATTCCCAGATGTAGCACCTCTTATTCAAATGGTTATCAACTTAGCGGGTGTTCTTTGGTCGTGTTTCTCTCACAAATTTTCAATCATTTTATTAGTCCATATTCTTTCAATCACCCAGTCACCCTGACAACCTCGAGTCTTGCCGATGAACCAAACCCTTGAACTGTCGGCCGCCCACTTTAGCCTCATCGTATAACACTTCCAACTTTCTAAGACTAAGGGCAGCCCATTTCTTCGGGCGCCACGTTTACTTCGGTTTCGTTCACTTGATTTATGTGCCTACGTCTCAGTGAACTGTTCATTGTGCAACAGAACTGTGTTAACATTTTGTGTTCGATTTTTTCACATTCCTGTAGTTGCGATATGTAACTATTGTGTTGCAATTTTACCGTTTTTTTGTTTGAGGGTCTGAAAATCACATAACAACAAGTGACTTTGTGGATACTGGGCTGAATATTCGACCAAACTATTGATTTTCCATAGCATTTATAGATGATGAACAAGGTTTAGAGCAATCTCTGTGAGTCATAAAGAGGGAAAGGTTTCAAGACCTCAAGTAGAGAAATGGACACACCCATTTCAGTTTATGTGGTAGTGAGTCTGTCACATCGTGCATGAGTTATTTAACATCCTTGTGGATCAGGAGAACAGGGAATCATATGTTGAAAATGGTTTTGGTGACCACCTGGATTATATTCGTATCCACCTCAGCTGTTATCTCCTATTTCACCTGGTCATGTTCCTCTTCTTTAGGCTGCATGGACGGTAGTTTACGTTTGCGCTGGAACTACTGACAATCGACTGTGACTCCGTATCCTACATACTGTTATCTTTTCACCGTCTAGCCAACTGATTTGGTATTTTGATCTGTGTTTGTTTCCAAGTACAACTTGGGCACGGATTAGTTGTATTTCGGTCATTTTTTTCGGCAGCACTTATTCGTTTTTTGCAACTCGCATTCCATTCAAATAACAACCTTGAACCGGAAGTCTTGACATGAACAGACATTTCTAATGGTAATCCTGGTCTTTCTTCTATTTCTGAGCATCAGTGCAGTTTCCTTCCCATTTTCTCAAACATTTTCTAGGAGGGATCTCTGCCCGTCTCTTGTGTCCATCATGCAGTCAAAGTCTCTTGGCTGTCATCCTCTCCAGCCTTCTAACGGCTCGCTTGAAGTTGGCCGTGGGTCAGGGGCTGAGAGCCTGACAAGCCCCTTTCCCTGCACTGTGCTGGTCATGTGTTACAAGTACGTGCTTATATTTGGTGCCGTTGGTTCTTCGCTTGCGTGGACATTTTATTATGTTAATTTAGTTATATTAATTGTGTTACTTAGTGTTTGCGTGTTTTTGTGGTGCGTTAAATTCATTCATGTTCACTGTCGATTCTCGCCTCAACCGGTGTTCCAACTGATGGAATCTCAAACGGACAGTGTTTGTCAGGCATTGAGAGACACGTATCCAAAAATTGTATCAGTCGCGAAGGACTATCTGTCCTAAAGGGGAAATTTGTCCATTTTGGAGCATCTATGGCCCACTGAGTTCTAATGGGGTTTCATTGTGTCTAAATATTGGTTGCTCGGGTTGACTGATTACCCGTTGATAAGGCGGCAGCTGATCTACTTTCCAAGCCTGGCAATTGACTCGCAGATTTTTCATCGCCGTGTGAGAAGATATCATCACTCAGGATACATTTACGAGCCATTTACCAAGTTCGACGAATAGACTGGCTGCCACCTGGTCAACAGTGACTTAGACACCCACTGGGTTTCTCATACGAGGTTGGTGAATGGACAGAGCTCTAACCCCAAACCGAATGCTTCAGGTCTGGGGTTGAAACATGTACATCAGCGTGCCACTGAAAAACTTGTACTGCTGCGATAGTGTGCCAGCCAGGTGGGTACTGGGTCACGCTCTCTTCCGAAGCCGCTTCTGATTGCGCTTTTCAGATCTATATGAAAGGTAAATGCACCGCTTGATATTTGGAGCTACTTCATAAGCGGCTGCTGGGTTTATGAGTGTGCTTAAGAGGCTCTCCATACCCCATTCCACTACAAAACGTAGTCTTTCAAGGATAACTGCTACCTTTTTGTTCGTTTTCGATGAAACCGACATCAAATGAGGCGGACACCGATGGGTTTCCAATACCCCAGTGTCCGTAGCGCTGCTGGTGCGAACATTGTCGATCCGTAGCATGTAGACGACATCTTTATGGATAAACGGAAAACACAGGTGCTTTTGGATGAAGTAACTACTAACGTACCATCTTTCTCCATGCGGCTAGCTCGTAAAAAGTGCTAAGTCATGCTTATGAATTTGCAGGCTGTGGGGATTTCCTGTGTATTTCAGGGGAAGCATTATAGTTTGTACAGTTTTACATTCCTTGCTTATCTTATTAGCTCTTAACGAAGTGTGTCTGATGAAGTCAGTGCATGAATCTCGTAGGCCCGAATCACGTTTGTCAATTTGCATCAAGGGTGATGTCAATAAAGCTTACCACTAGGTTTCAGGAGTCATGTGCACCAGGCCACAATGGAGACTGTTTTGTTTGCATGATAAAATTGACCGCCGCGGGCAGATTGTATGGTGCTTCTTCAGGCTCTTGATCACAGGTTGGTGGTATCGTATAGCGTGGATAAATTAATAGCGACGTAATTGGAAGGCGAATGCTTGTGTCTGCAGCAAGTACTTCGCTTGAGCGGAACATTCATCACCATAAACTGGGGCAGCTCGCATGGCGAGTCATCGTTTTGGCAGACGAGTGTTAAGCTCAGCGGGGCAATAAAAAGATGGAGGAAATTCAGTTTAGCCTTATCGATCTTCACTATCGATTTTACTGTATCAATGGATCGTATGAACTTAAGATGTAAAGAGACTTTAATCTGGTTATCGTCGATCACCTCAACGTAATGGCTGAATCCGAATGGTGGAAAGAAAGGAGAATCAAAACAAGCTAATGAATGGGATTCTATCATTTCGTTCATATACCTCACTTTGATGCGTATGACAAAGGTAGTTCGTTTAGTTACACAAGAAAATGTGTCGCCTGTATTCTTCAAGTGACACCTGTCGCAAACACACGGTCATCATCGTCATCATCATCGACAGCATGACATCGGTGTTCAACACCGATGCTTCACTGCCGTACAACCATGACTTATTTGAAAGCCTTATTGTAAAGAAAAGAGTAAAGGTGGACGGGGGAGGGACTTAGTGCTAGCT